TCCTTCCTTCCTTCCTTCCTTCCTTCCTTCCTTCCTTCCTTCCTTCTTTCTTCTTTTTCTCTCTCTCCTTCCTTCCTTCTTCCTCCTATCCTTCCCATATAAAAAATTATCTGGTCAAATTGTCCCATCTCTTTGGGACAAAGGAGATCCACTGAGATTTTTTATAGGATCTACCTCTTTGAGAAGGAAGGGGGATAAAGGGCAGGAAATCTTTCTGTTGATGTCGCTCTGCTGACATCACCATGGATTCAGTGTTCAAATCCACAGCTAGGCAAAACTCAAATAAATTTTCCTCTTTGTAAGCAGCTGCACTGTGAGTTCGCCTTCCATTAGTAAAGGAACAATGAAAGAAAGGCAAACTCTGCGTCCAAAACATGGCCAATGAAAAGACACTGGAACGGAAGCCAGGTATCCTGCTGTGGTGCAGAGGTGTAGACTCATGAATCCACCACAGTCAGATATTTGCTTCTTTTTAACAGCCTTATCAGCAGAGAGAAATGACTCCCGAATCATTTCACAGTAAAAAAGTTAAAATGATGCCTCAGTGGCGCTGCATCACGCCAGCTACTCACTGCCCAATTCATTGATTACACCTTAAACTATTCTTAACTATAGATAGCCTATCTCTTAATCATGCTTAGCAAGTGAGTGGTTTGGTATAAAACATTTGTACAAAAATTTGGGCGTATTCCGAGACTTCACATTCCTATTTGATCGTTTTTCTGGTAAAATTGTTCTCAAGGTCCATGGATAGCCAGGGGAATTCCAGGAAAAATGTGAAGTTACTTATTTGCAGAACCTATTTATTATGTGTAGTTCTGGAAATAAAGTAAACATAATGGTTCACGATGTTTTTCTAGAAATACTTTTATTTCAGTTTTTGTTTTTCTTTTTACTCTTGTTCTAGCGTTACTTTCAACTTTACAAAAGAATTGGGTGGCAAAAGAAACCAACCAAAAAACAAGTAAAAATTATTAACCCATTTTAAAATATTTTAAATGTCTTATTTTCCAGACGCAGGTGATGCTTTGAAGATATTAGCCTAGCAAGATGGAAGCAGATTTAAAATTTTACATAAGAAGTGACCTTTTTCAGGTAATGATGTTTTTCTGTAATTTTCCCAAACCTTTCATTTCCTCTAGTATTGCAAATTTTTAGGGCATGCTTGAATGATTTAATAAAATGAAGAATAACTACATTTTAAACTTAATTTTTTACCCAGTTTTACAATGTTCATAGCCCACGAGTAGAGCAGGCATGGCATTCAGGAGTTTGGAAAAATTTTTTAAATTCATTACTGAACAGCACTTGGGTTTTTGGATCTGAAAATTAAGCCATAGAGCTACAACTAAATTCTGAGTTTTGCCAAACTTCACAGCACCCACCAGCAGGCTCTGAGCAATCATAACGTGCATTTGAAACTAGCAGGCACTGCCCCTTAACTCTCTCACTATCTTGGGCATTTGATTTAAAAAATGTAAGTATTATAGGATTGGCTCTAAAAAGCCTGCCATGTGTTCTGAATTCCTGGAAGATAGAGCTTATATAAATTGCATAATAACAATATTGATTTTTAAATTTTAGTCCTAGATTGGTAATACTATATGGCACTTTATGAAACTATTCCCATGCATATTCAGTGAGTAGGATTTGATCTTAGCTTTCATGATACAGGCAGTTTCCTTTCAGTGTCATTGAAGGGCTTTTTACCACCTAAAAATGTTTAATAACGTAAATTACATATTTGCTCTATAAGTTACATTACTCTGCTTTTGTCATTGTTTATCAGCATTAACCCATCTTTTCCAACTTGTTAATATTACTAAGAGAGCCCGAAGAATCTTGCTTAATGAAGCAAGCCAAAATTTCTTCTGGAAAAATACCTATTTTCCTCCTGAACACAAAGAAGATTCTTAAGGTTATATTCAATTAACATTTTAGGAAAAATGTCTACTCCCAAACAAACCATGCCTTTACTAGGTCAGTATTTGATTTTCTTCTCTCTCTCTCTCTCTCTCTTTTTTTTTTTCTGCAGCCTAGGTATCTTCTGGTTGTTCTTTTATTTTCTAAAATTGAAACTTGGGATTGTTTGCAGGTTAACGCCATAAACCATTTGAAATGAAAAACTTCTCTCTGTTCTATATTTGCCAAGAAAAGGGAGAGCTGCCTCCAACTGAAACGCAGCATTGAGCACCTTTCTATGGAGGTCAAGAGCGCCATGCAAATTTATGAAAGTGGTGCTATTTGAATGTCTCAGTGTACCACTTTGATAGATCTTAGTCTATTGCTAACAGATATTGTATCGTTTTAATAAGCGTGATGATAACAGTTCGTTCTCATTACTCTGAGACCTTGGGCTTATTTTGTTCCATTATAATAGGAGCTCCTACACCCCCCACATTCCAGCAATATTTAACAGCATTCAAAGCGCCCATCCTCAAATACCTCTAGCCCCATGCCTTTGTCAGAGAGATGGAAGGAAAAGAAGCATCTCAGGGCTTATTTAAAAATCTTTTATTTTAGAAAGGAAATGAACATTTTAAAATAAAATAAATTAAGTAAAGACCATCTGGGGGTGACTGATTTGGATACTACTTACTTCCACTTGCTATTGTTGTTTCTTCGGATCTGAAAATTAAGCCAGAGAGCTACAACTAAATTCTCAGTTTTGCCAACCTTCGAAGCACCAGCAAGCTCTGAGCAATTGTACCGCAGCTCACTTGTGATGAGACAGGGAGACAACAAAGTATCTATGAATGGTTATGTCTCAGTTTCTGTTCATCGTCGTGTTGGTTTCCTGTTCTCTTGATTTAACGTTTTAGGTTGCATACATGAGGGCCTGCTCTTTTCTCTGAATAATTCCTCAATTCATCTCTGCCTTTTTTTGTTATTAGTAGGGCCTCATTTCGTCTCCCAGATTCTTCTTCTTCTTTTTTTTTTTTTTTTTTGAGACAAAGTCTCGCTCTGTCGGGGCTGGAGTGCAGTGGCACAATCTTGGCTCATTGCAACCCCGCTTCCAGGCTCAAGCAACTCTTGTGCCTCAGCCTCCAGAGTAGCTGGGATCACAGGCACACGCCACCATGCCCAGCTAATTTTTTTTTTTTGTATTTTTAGTAGAGACAGGGTTTCACCCTGTTGATCAGGCTGGTCTCGAACTCCTGACCTCAAGTGATCTGCCCACCTCAGCTTCCCAAAGTGCTGGGATTACAGACATGAGCCATCGGTGCCTGGCCCCAGGTTCTTGAGAAAGGAGTGAGTGAATGTCCATTTGTTGAAGCAAATGAGATAATTATTTTGAGAGCCAGGGTCTATAATTATAGCTAGCAAAAGTAAAAAGGTCTCTTTTTAGGTCATGTAAAGGAATGGAGTCATATGTGTTTCCCAGCTTCTAGGACGGGGAATTATTTCGCTTTCTAACGTGTGTCCCTGAAGTGTTTATGATTATGACTGTCTTCAATACAATTCACAAAGCCGCCATTAATAAAAATTCATGTCTTGGATCTTTCCTTCTTATATGTAGAACATTGGCTTTGCAGAAAAAAAATGTTATGTTGACAAATGAGTCATTTTATAAGAAGATCTCTGAAGCAGATTCATCCCTGTACTCTCAAACAGTTTTGAGGGGAGAACAATTATGTAATTTCTTTCATGGTTCAAATTTTATACAGTATATCCAAATTTGCTCATTGTTGGTGTTTGGATCAATAGTAAGTGTGGGGGTGGGAACAAAAATGCAAACTTTTCCTGAAGATGGATCTGAATATAGCTGAAAATCTCCTCTAGACTGGTTTTCAAAAAAGTATGCCTACAAATCTCTTGGTAGTACTTCCTAAGTTTATTCCAGTTGTTTTCCAGAATGCAAATGAGAAAATGAAAGTTTCACCATCATTTTTAATGTAATGACAGGTATTTAAAGGAGTGAACTTGCATTTGGGCTCTCATGTGTTCTTTCTCTCTGCCTACAACTTAAATAATTTTCTTTATTCTGCTGGTTTGCCATGTTGATATAACTTTGCCCAGGTTGTGTGTTTAGCGGTGAATAAATGAGTCTTCCATATGTAAACAGTAAAATGAGGTTTAACTGAAGTCCACTGGACCTATGGAAAAAGTGGAAAACAAGGGAGGCATGTTGGGGAGAACATAGAAGATGTTGCTTAACTTTTGATTTTGTGAGAGCAGGATGAAGTCCTTTCTATTTCTGGCATAAAACAATGGAATGTTAGACTCTTTTGTTGGATTAACGGTTTTAACCTTTCATTTTCAGACATGTCACACCCCCAAAATGAGAGAAGATATTGAGGCCTGTTGCCACAAACCCGTAGATCCGAACTTGTGGTGTTAGTCTGCACAAGCTTGTGTCTATAGGTATGTGTCTGTTAGGCAATCTCACAGACCTCGGGCTATGCCTATATGGCAGTCAATATCCCTTCAAGTTATTTCATTTTCCTGCTCTTCCCCTTAGTTTCCTTAGCGATAAAAATGGAAAAGGGGGCTGATGTGGAGGAAAGAGATCTTTTGTCCTGAAATGAATGAGGTTCCTCAGTGATTAATTAACAGGCTTGCCCTCAATTCCCATATCTCTTGTAGCTGGTCTCAGCTGTCAAATTAGAAGGCTGGGCTTGCAGGTGAGGCAGCAAGAATTTGAGTGATTGGGACAACTTACTGTGGAGTGATGAGCAAATAGATAAATAAGCATTTGTTTTGTTTTCTGTAAGCCTAATTGTTTTCAAAGTTATTGTGATAGATTCCAGGAAGTGGCAAACATGTTTACACAACCAATTTCACCTTGATTTGAGTTTTTGAGTTTTCCTTTGTTCCAATTCTTCTTCCCCCATTTCCCCAATAATTTTGATTAAGAAGATAAGGACTGATAAATCAGAATGGATATGTTTAACTGCTTAACTAGTTATACTTCTGTAAATACCCAGTAGTGTAAGAAGGACTTTTTATAAAAAAGAAATCTCCAGTTTAGGTCCAAATTCATATTTGGCCAGAGCTGTTTTATAAGTCTTTATCCTGTTAAAAGGCTGGAATGAAAATAATTTTATCCCCTTGCCTCTTAAATGTCAGCATTGTGCCAGATTTGAAAAGCTAAACTGACCACAGATCAAAGAAAAACTGGCTATATTTGTCTCATTCCAACAATGTGAGCTGAGGAATCTGTAAACAGAACCCATGGTGAAAAGTTGATCAGATTTGGGTGACTCCAAAACTTTTGCATTTGCTTTTGGTAAAACATAGTGCCAGAAATTCCCTTAAGATTTGTGTGTGTGTGTGTGTGTGTGTGTGTGTGTGTGTGTGTGTATGTGTGAGTATGTGTGTGTATGTATGTATGTGTGTGTGTGTATGTATGTGTGTGTGTGTGTGTGGCCTCTTCTAACAAAAAAAGTCAACATGAAGTAGTTGGTGGGTTAACATTAGAAAAAAGTTTGAAATTCAAATGGATAAACTTTGTCTCCTTTTAAGACCTACTCAGGAATAACTAAAACTCTTTCATTTGCCCAGTGTATAGAAATGAGATTTTGTATTTCTGAATTAGGACAGCCTAGATACACCTGACATATGTATAAGGGGTAGAATTTGGAACTCTGTAATTGCTAGACCAAGAGGACATTGTTTCCATGCATTTCCTTTGAATTTCCTTTGCGTAGCATTAAGGAGGCTTGTCTATAGTGCTTAACTTCCTGCTTGTGGAGAAAGCATTGCTTTATTATGGAATGATGGCATATTACAACCAAAAGTGAAAGACTGTCTTCGTTGGTGTGTGTTATATAAATTGTTTGCCTAAGGCCTTTATCTACCCGATAAGCAAACAATTTGCTTGGTTAGTTTTATGTGTCTCTTTGAAGTGGTTAACTTGGAATGAATAAACCACTAATAAATTAAAACTGGACCTCCACTAGATAAATACTTGTTTGATAATGGCAAAATCACATCTCTACTCATCATCCCTTTGACTTGCTGTTGAGTGTACTACCATGAGATTAATGGTGGAGTTCATGGATCCATGGGGACCCTGAGCTCCTGATATTCCCTGTACAGGAACAATATTGGGACTGCAAAATGGCCAGTGGGTGACTGCCAGATTACTTCTT